TGTGTGTGTGTGTGTGTGTGTGTGTGTGTGTGTGTGTGTGTGTGTGTGTGTGTGTGTGTGTGTGTGTGTGTGTGTGTGTGTGTGTGTGTGTGTGTGTGGGGCCCTTCTGTCCTCATGCGGTGGGAGCCTGTCGCTACGTATTTACACGAGTGCCACCGAGACAAATTCCTCCATTTACGTCGTGATGAGTGGTTCTGGGTTTGCTTTCCGACCAAACGGTTCGCTATTATTTATTTTTTCTCAAACACATTAGGGTGTGGTGCTCTATAATGCATGCACACAATACAGTGAATTATGCAACCTCTGCTACTGTACAGGCGGCGTAGAAAAAGCACTTCAGACCTTTTTGCTTTATTAAATGGAGTCATACCATGATAGGAAAACTACGTGGCTGCAAATAAAAGTCCGTTTTGCTTCAGTGAAAGTAAACAAGACTCAGCAGTTAGCATGTGTGACTTTAAAGTGAACGGCACAGCTTTATTATATAAATTAATAAAGAAAAGATGATTTTATAAGCACATCAAAAGGTTTTACAGCTGGTCTTTCTTTGTCAAATGTTGGATAACTTTAGCTGTGACTCAGCTTATTAGCTTCTCTACTTTTTTTTTTACCATGATGAATAAAATGCATATTTAATGTTCTTACAGTAAAACAAGGTGAGCTATTAAGATTTTTTTATTATAGCTCTAAAGGAGCCCAAGACTCTACTTCCATTACATTACAGAGGCAAGAGAAAACCTGGTACTTTCTACATGAAATCAGATACAAACCTAACAAACTAAACCTACGTTGATGTTGAGCATTTAACAAGAGATCGTGATGCAGTAGAATATAAAATGCATTTCATTCTAGAGCTCATTCAAATCACACAGGTGAGACTTTCTGTCCTCTTGTGGGACTGAAAGCAGGACGGCAGATTTATGGTGTTTCTGAAGAGTTAAGATTCACCAAACGCACACAATGACAGGAACACACTAACCGATGGAGGCAGCGCCTGTGTTCTGAGGTAAAATGGTTTCTTTAAAGAGATCCTAGATAACCGCTTCAGTTCCCCTCAGAAAGGTCTGTCTGACATCAAGGTGAAGAGGTGAAAATATTCTAAACACAGCCTTCACTTAAAGTGATATATTCTTTTAGGGGTCTAAAATAAATATAAAATAAATCAGTTTCTCCAAACTCCATCAACTGTAGTAAAACACGGACTATGGAGGAGAATACCGCACTACGAAACATCACTACTGTCCCTTTAACTGAACTCAAACAGACCCCACAGCTTGTTGTTGGCTTGCCTACTTTCATTTAGTCTCATTTTCATCTCTGTTTCATTTAGTGAGTTTTCATAATGATGTCATGAAAGTGACCGGCTCGAGACAATCCTGGGAGATTGTTACACTAGCTCAATTTTAAATGAGCTCATGTGAATGTTTCTGAATGGTGGAACAACAATTGCGGAATAATGGCGATTCGCTAGAATTAAGCCAAACGGTTGCACAAGTAGAGAATACTTGTGTGTGTGTGTGTGTGTGTGAGAAAAATGGGTTTTAATGCCTATGAATACAAGTTCACACTCTTACAAAAGTTAGTCTCAACCAGTCTTGTGGGTCCCATTGCACCACATCGTCCCCGGATATTGTCCAATAAAAAGGGTTTCTATATTAACATTGAGCCATTTAAGCGTAGTGCGTCTCTTTAAGGCTTCTCATTTCTAGATTCTATCAACTAGTTTATTTTAGCAGTTAAACATTTGTTGAATGTTGAAATAGATAACGACTTTGATCGTCTTGTTTGCCGTTCAAAAGATGGGCAGAGTGATGAGTCTGTCTGCCCTTAAAGCTATAGTGTTATCTGACTGGTCACCTCATTGTCCAGACTCCTTAAAAGTAGATTATGCTTTTACATTTTTATCTCCCAGATTACGTTTTGTTTTTGTATCACAAATATGTTTCTGATCGAAGTCCGCAGTTGTCTGTGTGGTCAGGAGGACGAGGTGGATGGACGGGTCAGAAAAACACAACCAACAGTCAGCATGGACTTAGTTTAATGAAACATTTAACGCTTTGTTAAATGTTTCATTAAATGTTTAATGTTTTGTTTATTGTTTTGTTTATTGTTTGTTTCGTTTAATGTTATGTTTAATAAAAACCTCTCACAAATACTTTTTGTGTAGATGGTTAGATCTCCAAGCTGACTTATTTTGTTTGCAGTTCACAACCTCTTCTTCTTCTTCTACTCTGTATTCGGCGTATTAAAGCCACGAGCAGCCTATTGCCCCAACTTCTGACGAAACTATGCGGCAGTCAAGTTTATTCGCTCCAAACCTGTTGATGGAAATGCCACCAGGAGCAGGATGGGAAATAATCTCAAAAGGGAATCTAGTTGTAGACTTGCAAATACTGTAGTTTCCCTGCTCGATCCTCGTTCTTGGCAAAAAATCTTCTCGTCTCCGTGACCTATAACACATTGTCTTCAGCTGTGAGAGGGCGTCGGACATGTCAAAGTCTTTAATGTATGTGAGCCGTGTGCCCAGAGAAAAGCACTAATGAGCCCAGTTGGCCAGCTCGCAGACAATCCTGCCTCAAACACTCAGAGTTATATACTTCAAACTGTACCTACAAACAGTAGCACCCCCCCCCCCCCAGCTTTCATGTTCACAAGACAAACATATGCTAAATGTACAGGTCTTGTGGTATTGATCCCCCGAAGGAGAAATTCTCTTTCATCTCCCGCTTCCACACGAAGGTCGGAGCACATCGGACAGCTGCAGAGCAGACACCCTGCAGCTGGTGGAGGTTCAGTTGCGTTTCAAGGACACTTTCTGCAGGGCGGGTGTTTGCCATAAAAGCAGGAGCTTGTGCTGCATTCACATTGTGTCGGGTTTATTGTAAATATGAACTACCAAGTGGGAACAACTCAGTTCCTGTGAGCCCTCCAGTAGCAGGTACAAGTGGAGGCTGTGGGAATATTTTGTAGCTCCAGTATGTCCCCATTAGAGCGGTGAAATGGGGAGCCGTATCAACCGTATCGGTGTTTGTGTGCAGCTGACTCTCAAAGCCCGTTTCTGAAGAATGTGGTGTAAGCTTTGTTTATTGTTTCTTTGCTGCAGGATGGACCAAGTTTGCGCGGCTGACACGGGCGCTCACCAACAACCGCAACACGCTGCCGAAGCTGGATCCCATAGACAAACACGAAGTCAGCCATAAACCGTCCCGACTGGTGGAGGTGAGCACATGCAGACTCACACACACAGTGCATGCTGTGCTCTTCTACACCTCGTACTGTGAATTATACCAGGGTCACCATGAAAGCATTTCTGCTTCATGCCCAAATTTCCTCCCAATCCCATGTTATTCACTCGTGCTGTTCACTAACCAGGTAAAACATTTAATATATATATTATTATTTTGAAATAGTTTTTAAGGATCAGCCTCTGCAATGCCAAAGAAAGCTCCAACATAGGAAAATAACCTCCTAAACTTGCAGGATTGAGCTCAAAACTTGACTTTAGTGTTCATTCAATGACCAAGACACCACCAGTATTTCGACAGGTACAATAAGGGTAGCTAACCATGTCACCTGGAAGCTAACGCTGCTGCAGCACCTCCTACACACACACACACACACACACTGCAAACATGCCACCGTAGCAACTCTCTGCTCTTAACATTATTTCTGCACAAATAAATCCTCACATAAAACATTAAGTGCCACATTCAAACCATTCTACAAACGCCGAGTTAAAGCAGCCGCACGCCGACGCCTGCATTGATAGACTGACGCACAGGCATGTGAGCATATTGTCCTTTGTCACACACAACCACGCCCTCGATGCAGCCATGCTTTAGCCTTCATCCACTTCCACTCGCACGCTAACTTCCCCCGAAGCTGCAGTTGTTTGACAGAGCGAGCGGTGCTTTTCTCTTCCCGGGAGCGCTGTGCTCCTGTGGACTGCGGCCGTCATTACTATTTCATGTTCGTTGGGGAGATGGAAGCAATGGAAGCCGGGTGCTGTGGGCACTCTGAATGATTGTGAATGCTGCGAGAAATTTAGAAAATGGGTTTTGGTGTGGGGGGGGAAGAAGACAGCTGATGGTTTTTTTCTTTTTACCCGCCTGTTTTATTCATGAACGTTTGAGTTTGAGGCGTGGCGCCTTTTAATCAGAATTTGTTTAAGTTTCATCTCTTCTTGGAACATGAGGCGAGAATCATTTTCATATTTTTAAGCAAAAGTGTTGCTTCCAGGGCGTTTTAAAGGGGAAGAGGGATGAGAGGAGAGGAGGTGAAAGAGAGGAAGCTGAATAAGAGAGGAAAGAGGAAGTAGTGATTGAAGTAAGGAAGCGAAGAAATAGCCAAACGGAAGGAAGGGAGGAGAAAGGAAGGAGAGAAGGAATAAACTCACGACACGTCAGACTTCACCCATTCAACCAGTGTGTGGTTTAAAGGGGGAGATTCGTTTATGGAAGATGTTCTCTATTAGACTACAAACCAGGATATCTCTGCTTCTGCTTCAATTTTGACAATTCATTTTAAAATATATATCTCTTGTGAGTCCGCCCTCTTTATGGACTTCTTAAATCACTGGAGTACTCTTTTTATATACATTATGAAAGGAGTAAAAGCTTTTAAAAATACTACTGCTGTAATCAAAGCTTTGTTTCTTGTATATTCAATAATGATGCACACCAACAGTCTACTCTTTCTAGATAAAAATCTCTTTACTGATTAAAACTACGTTCCAGTCCGTCTGTGAAATGTTTGTAGGCTGCTTATTAACTTTACTGTCAAACTGACGTCGGACGCCTTATTGCAACGTATCCTCGGTTCGTATGAGATCTTCTGAAAAAAGTTATTCCTCATTATTCGTTGTCCTACGAACGTCCAGCAACGTGTGTCAATTTCCCCTCGTTACACGCAGACGGTCTTTTCAAAATAAACTTCCGTCTTCACAGGAAAAAACTGAGTGAGCTTTAGGAAAAGATTGTTGTTTGGGTTAAAATAACTAGCAGTGGCGTACTTCGGTACGGAAGTTGCGTGAGGAATAAGTCAACGTTGACTAGTTGACATGCAGGCGAACTTGTCTGACCCTTCCACCTGTGGGTTCTACTGTCTTTCACTTCCTGGTTCATGATTACGTGGATTACATAAGAGTTGATTTTGTGGGATATCTACGAACTACAGCGTTGAAAAACTGAAACGTTAAATAAAGAAAAAATATGAGTTGTTTTTAAGTCATCGTCCTTATTTAGAAATGTGGAGTGAACCACAGAACACAAAGGGATTTTAGGAGCTAATACACCAGTCAAGGTGATTCTTGAATGAGGTTTTGTTACTTCCTCAACAGAACCTGAAGTTGAGTGAGTCAAGGAAGGAAAAGTGCAATAAGTTGTGCATGTAGAGAAGGAAAGAAGGATGTAAGAGAAGGTGTGGAGGAAAGGAAGAGGAGAATGTAGAGGCAAGAGAGGAGTGATGTTGGCAGGAAGGAGAAAAAAGGGCATAATAAGTTACAAGCTGATTCAGCCTCTTGCATTTCCCAGCATGCTGCTGGATGGGAGGGGGTTGCATAACGTCCTGAGCGGGCTCAATAGATAAACGCAGGTGATCCATCCTGAAAGGAACAGCTGGCGTCTTCTGTCGAGGAAGCTGTCGAGTGTCACATGAGCAGAGTTTTTCTCTCCCCCCACAATGCCGCTGGGTTCCTAATTTGAGCGACGGTGCAGCTCTTGACCAGGGGGCTGTTTGATTGGCAGCTCTGATGATCAGATCCTCAGCTCTGGTTACTTCACATCAGACCGAGTCCCACTGGGAGGGCAAATGGGGCTAACAGAGGCTAACCAAAGCTAGCTGAGGCTAACTCCTCTGAATGTGATGTTTATATTATTATGATGATTTACCTTAGTTTTAATAGTCAAACAGCAACATTACTAATGGAACTAAGTTAAAAGAAGTACCACTCTTAAGTATACTGTAGATATGTTTTCTTTTCTTTTGAACCACAGGAAGTGTTAAAATCAGTATGATTTATAATTGCAGTTCATCTGAGTAGCAGCTACACACAAACAGAATAATATGCAGTTTAATGTAAAATGAGTTGAATGGTTGTGTGATCTCTGAGTGGCCTGCAGAGGAAATCCATCTTGAATTTAATGTAGTCTGTGTTATGCAGAGGAAGCCGAGCTCAGCAGGAGAGTCATCATCATCATCATCATCATCATCATCATCATCATCATCATCATCACTCTGCAAAAGATAATGGCTGTTTTTATTTATTTATTTGTTCTTTTAGTTTAGTTTTAGTCCGTCTCGTCCGTTTCCTCATCCCCGTCCTCTTCTGTCTCATTTCAAGACAAATTTATTCATTATGCAGTTTTGTGACGGGGAGTTTTACGGAGCAACAAAAAAAGATGAATACCGATGAAAACCGGAGAAGAGAAACATCACAAATTTTAATATACTTTTCTATTTCCCCGGCTCTCGCTGCACACACACCGAGCAGCAGTAGGTAGTTACTTTCTACTCTGTGTTCGGTTGCCTCTTCAAAACAGTTGTGCGTTTATAAGGTGAAATGTAGAAAACACCCTCAGACTTCAAACAAATATAACTGACTATTAGAAATATAATTGGCAGAATAAAACAAACTTTTCTCTGTGTGCAACAGTACGTGTGCATTAATCAATAAATCAGTTCGGGCCAAATTAAATGACTGAACGGGCTTATTACAGTCCTGCAGCAGCCACTCATTCACGATGTAATGAACGAAGAAAATGATCACCTTAACCTTTTAATATTTAATCTCTGAACCTCCTATAAACCAATCCTATCCAAATACTTCGTTTTTTATTATAATAATTTAAATTGTATTATGTCATTATCTCCTGGTGATAATTATAATGAAATACAAAATGATTATGATGCGTGTCAAACCGCTTTGACGCCTCTCCTCCGATTGATTTTGGATCATCAAAAGCTGTTTCTTCTGCAGCCGCAGTATCTGTTTGGAGAGATCTAACAGAAACAAAAAGCTAAGGGCTTTTCCCCAGAGGACGCTAGTTTCTTAAAGAAATAGACTTATTGGCTTTCACTGGTTAAAGTGACATATTCTGTTTTTAAATTCCATTTTTTAACTTGATGGCTGACCAAAATAAAACATTGTAGTTGAGTTTGAGCTAAGTAACAACCTCCGGGTCTGAAAAGCGAAGACAAAGGTTAAGTGTCTTAAAGCTGCATTCTCTCTAGTGTCCACCAGGGGGCGACTCCTCTGGTTGTATAGAGGTCTATGAGAAAATGACTCTACTTCTCTCTTGATTTATTACGTCAGTAAACATTGTAAACATGAGTTTATGGTCTCAATCTCTAGTTTCAAGTCTTCTTCAATACAGCATGATGTTCATTTAGTACATTATGGTCCATTTAGAGTCAAATAGACCATAAAGCAGGGGATGCTTTAGGGCGGGGCTACACAGTGATTGACAGGTGGCTACCAGAGACGTATACGGCGTCTCTACGTCACTCCTCCTCAGTCCAACTATGGTCACTTCCTGTTCATCGGTTGCAAATAAACAAGATGGTGACGGCTAAATTGCAGAACTTGAGACTTCGTAACATCAGTCCACAAACCGATGAGTGACGTCAGGATGACTACGTCCACTTCTTATAAACAGTCTATGATCTGAGCCAAAGATTGTTTGAGGCAAGAGAAACTTCACTCTGTAACATCAAGTCCAATAGAGTCGCGCCAATTTCACGTTGTCCTGTTTTAGGCTGTTTAACATATCCTGCTTTGTTGCCCCTCCAGGTTCTGCAGCTGAACTCAGACATCCTTCCGCAGTACAAGCAGGAAGCCCCCAAGACGCCCCCCCACATCATCCTCCACTACTGCACCTTCAAGACCACCTGGGACTGGGTCATCCTCATCCTCACCTTCTACACGGCCATCATGGTTCCCTACAACGTCTCCTTCAAGACCAGGCAGAACAACATCGTGTGGCTGGTGCTGGACAGCGTGGTGGACGTCATCTTCCTGGTGGACATCGTCCTCAACTTCCACACCACCTTCGTGGGGCCTGGAGGCGAGGTCATCTCCGACCCCAAGCTCATCCGCATGAACTACCTGAAGACCTGGTTCGTCATCGACCTGCTGTCCTGCCTGCCGTACGACATCATCAATGCCTTCGAGAACGTCGATGAGGTACGGTTGTGTTTTTGGTTGTTTTTTAAGATGGTGTTCTCAGCTGTGATTGGCTGGAAGGAAAGTGTGCATGGAGGTGAAAATATTCAGAGTATATTTATTAGTGGTGTAAAGGACCATTGTTGATCCGTATGAACCCCCCTCGTGGCACACATGTGAACCGCCAATTAATTACACAGTTTAACGTTAACTGTCAGCGTGAAATAAAGCTTTTGTCGTTTTCTGCGAATGTTCAGTAAAATATGAGATCAGGACATTGGCATTTTAGAGCTAGTAACGTGAGCAACATCACTAACGGCCAACGTACAAAGGTTCTGTTAGATTATGATGCGTTCAGGCTCTGTTCAGGGAAAATGAGTATTTGTCGAAGGTAAATCTAAATTAAAAGTAGGTTTTCTGATTGAATCTTGGGGAATAAATAGGTCGTGACATTGCCGAAGCATGTTATAGATATAAAGTGGTGATTTTTGTGAGTAGTCTTTAAGAGGTGATGATGAATCCGGTTTATGCCGGTTGCTGATTGGTCCAGAGTCTCGGTGGATGTTTACGCCTGGTATTAACATGTGATTTGTATCGGGGGAAAAACTCATCTACTGCAGGTGTAAACGCATGCAGAGTGCGATCAGATTGGCCAGACCTCATCTTGGAGGCGGTCTCGCTTTCACTGTTATCTGATCTCACAGCGGTGTAAATACCATCTGCAGAGTTTGGCCACATTTTTTTTTAAAGAAAGAAAATCCACCCAGAAAGGTTGCCCAAATTGGGAGAACAAGAATGCTCATTAATAATAACGTGTGGATGCTAAAGCCTGCGATCAGATGTTGTTATTCAGATAAGATATCCAGATAACAGATGTTGGTGTAACTGGGGTCTTGAGACCAGAACGAGGTTTGTTTCTGACCGTTTCGAAAGGAAAGTTTGAGATTTAGTTTGCTAGTTGAAAGGACAGAAGGAAGAGGAAATAATTTGGATATGGTTCGTCAAACTGTTCCCCTCCTCTTCCTCAGAAACAAGAGATTGTTTCTGATAGAATAGATGGAGTAAGGACTTTTAAGTTGGAGAGAACTTGCTGTAGAATAGTGTTTTGGCTCAGGGACGCTGTGGATGTGACAAACACAGACTAGTGAAGTAACATGAATTATAGAAGCACTAATAATCGGTAGTCATTGTTAATTATGATTTAATGTTTGTTAACAGTAAAATAACTTAACTAAAGTAGAATTCATGATTAATTTACCATTTCTTAATGAGTTATTATATAGTGTAACTGTTACAATCCGTCCAACAGCCTGTACTTTGTGTTTAATACTAATTAGAGAAAGTGAAGTTATCTTATAGCACATTTCCATGTCGTCAAAGCTGCTGCTGTGTCTGTTTGTCTCGTATGAGACACAACAGCAGGTGCCATTTTTAGCTAATAAGCTCATTAAGTTTGCTGATTAATAATTGATAGTGCTCTGTTTTTAACTCGGGCAAACAGGCCTTCGTTATCTCAGCCAGGGCAAGTGGAATGTAATTGTAATTTCTAACTTTCAGCAGGTTTTGCTGTAATAGCTTCATTATTGAAATACGTTAAAAGTAAATTCCCTCATTTTAAGGTCATGTGGATGTATTTAAACCTGCTAGCATGTGGAATTGATTTAGGACCAAGTGTAATGATGATGGGACTGCAGTTTAAAAAAAACAAATAGATATAAATATACTGTATGTGCCTCTAGGAATGAGAGTTGTTAGGTTGTTTGATTCCTCCGATGCTCTCTGAGGGATCAGAGCTGCTCTCGGTGTTCTTCACGCTCATTTACACCCATCAGATATCCAGCCGTTCCATCAATACGGCCCGAAGTCCATTAAAGGTGATTTTCCACTTGATTTCCCACCGAATTCATTAGACGAAAGCCTGAGTGGAAGGACCAGGCTATTGAAAGTAAAATGAGAAGATTGTCGTACACAGGCAATGCTGAGTTTCCTTTATGTTTGAACATGTGATATTTTCATGATTTGTTGTGTTTGTGAACACATGCTGCGGGGGTTTGTTCGTGCATACACGTTCATTATTGTTTGTTTGAGTGGGCATCTCTGTCTGCCAAGCAGACACTTAATCGCATGAGTTTTTGAACGCCAGTCGTAATAATAATGATAATAAAACCATTAATTAGGCTGCCAGCAGCTTCATTTTCAACATTTATTAATTTTTTTTTATGGCATTAAATTTCTTCACACCTCCTTCAGCTTTCTATTCTTGTCCTGAGCAACATTTAGACCAACACACTAAGATGTTTAATTGTTCTTTGCAGCTCCTAAAGTCACAACTAACTTCTCTTTTTGGATAGTTTCTTGCAGGATGTTGAAGTATTTGACGTAACTGCTAAAAACTTTCCACAAGGTGTTCTTGAGTTGCAGACAACTTGTAAACAGTTCTGATGATTGATTAACAAGTGAGGTTATTTTACAAGCAAAATGAATTTAATGATGTCATTATGAGCTTTCGGAGGGACATTTGTCACTATTATTTAACATTTTACCAACTAAACAATCATAAAAAAGCCTAAAGCCATGTTAACGTGCTCACAAAGGCATTCTGTAACATTACGTAACGTCACACAGGACTTTCACCCAGCAGACCGCTGCTTGTGTCCCGTGTGAAGCCAAGAGTCAACATTGACTTATTGTGAGTTACTTAACATTCCTATGTTGCTTCATTGTCTGTCACTGGACTTTATGTAGTGTTATGTAATGTTTCTGTGTCAAGTACGTAACAGAATCTCATGGACTATTTAATAAACAAACCTATTTTAACCCAAAGAAAGAAATTGACACGATGAAAACTGAAGCTAGAGATCCACTTAGAGACGGACTGAAATGTAGGACCACGGTCTAAAGCTGCCGTATGTGACGAGTTGGTTGTGGGAAGGTGTTGCTTCAACTTAAGAGGAAAAAGTTAGAAAGTAGTCTGTTCTGTACTTCAGCCAAGGTGCCAGCAGTTTAATATACCTCAAGCCAGGATGTAGTACTTAAAGGAGGTAAAACTGTGTTTTTACTCACTTTTTACTCAGAAACCAGTATCCCTTTTCCCCTGAGGATAACGTTATTGGAACATTGTCCAACAGGCCGTGAAGGACTTTAAGGTGTAATTGCCCTCCTGGGATACATTACCTCTTTTAAGTTGCAAAATCAAATATTGAGTGCATAAACAAAGTGTGCCAAGAAAATATGTTTTATGTATGTGATATTAGTGGCTTAAATATTGCTAATTCAGGCCAATATTGAGCCCTTGTGTCTCAGTTTAACACTCGGCCTTTTAAACCTCTCAGTGTCTGAATGGAGTATTGAACTGTGGATGCTCCTGATGCCGTGGTTCAGGCGTCTCTCTTCGTGGGTTCGATGAGCCGCCCGCTGGGTGGTGTTTTCTGTTTGTCTTTTAAAACAGCAGCGAGTCGGGGGGGACGCAGGCCGAGAGGAAATCAATGTCTCGTAACTTTCCAGCCACTGAAGAGGACACAGTCGAGAGTCTCTCGTCGCCTCTTTGCTAACATTGACGTTTTTGTTGCCACTTTCCTGTATTAGCAGGCTGGAAGAACAGACGGATGCTGACTGAAGGGCAGGGTGGGCGGCTCGAGGTGCAGTGTGGAAGAAAAAGCGGCAGAGATTATTATAGACTCCTTGCGGACCGACTTCCCCTCGTTGCCGACTCTGATGGCTGAAGCAGGCGGGAAGTAATTTTAGTTGGAAAGCCGTGCCGAGCTGGAGACATGCAGGCGCTGCCAACTCGTGTATACGCACACAAACGCGTACATATACCTGGTTTGTGAGGACCTCGCAGGTCCAAACTGTTTCTGAGTTAATCAACTAATTGTTTAACCACTTTGAGAGACAATTTACAGTTGAAACATTAATTATTTTATCTTATTTGGAAAACTTTTGACCTAAACTGGTGTAAACAGGTCTTTCTTATCTGCCTCCTTGTTGAACTTTGTCCTTTTGTAGATTAACAGCTTGACGTCATAACTGACATTCAGTCATGTTAACTTGATGAATTTGCTGATATGAATCTGTTCATTTGTTTACAGCTTACAAACTGGGATAGTGGCACTTTAGAAAAAGCACGAGCAGATCTCTTAATACTCATTAAAGCGGTAAGCTCCCGGTCTCTTTAGGCTGACAGCCCTCATTAAAGCACGAAGTCCTGCTTCTATCACGATCACACGTCGTCCTCAGGCGTTCACGTTTAAATATAACTCACCTTTCGTTCATTAAAGGTTTAAAGTTGATGAACGATAAAGTACGACTCATCCTGAAATCAAAGACATAACATCTTATGGAGCTTCTTCTGTATTCAAAGTTCAGATGTTGACATATAACCACTTATCACTTATGAATCCAAACATGTTGAGTATTCAAAGAGCTCTTGAGGGGGATCACTACAACACATCAGTTAAATCCAACTTCTCATGCAGGATTTTTCACTTTTGAACAGATTTAAATCTATGAAGAGATAGTTAAATGGCTGATGCATGTTCCAGCTCAACACTGTAGAGCAGTGTGCCGTGAGAGATCCTCAGGTCTGCCCTGGGAAAATGTCCATGTTCACTTAATCGCTCCAAAAGAATTCATTAGAAAGAAACAAATGTAGATTTTGAAGACCTCCTGTTTCTAAGGCATCTAAAAACAAATTGGCCGTCTTTGTTTAATCCCTAGACATGTAAATAGTGTTTTTATCAGTGAAATATTTGTGACAGTCACGTCTGAAAAGCTCGGACAATTTAGTGCTTTAGTGCACGTCGCGTCTGCCACATTGACGTAGATTTCTGGAGTGCGCGCCGGCGTCACGACGCCGACCAGAGTCGATGCTTTATACTGTGTTCTCTGTTACAAATCCCCAGAACTCAGCTATTAAGATGTTGAATACGATGTTTACTTAACCAAAGACAAGCAGAAGTTATACAAACACACCGTTTTCTTTAAGGTGAAAGAATGTTCCTCTCAGATTCTTCCTGTTGATGTGTTGGAGATGCAGCATCACACCTACACGGAGACTCAGCAGTTACATCAACATGAAGAAGTCGAGCTCTGGCTGTAAAACAGCAACAAATGATGTAAGATTCTCACGAGGACGAGTTGTGCTGCTGATGCTCCGTCACGTTGCAGCAGAGGTGGTGTGAGAAGTGTGTGTGTGTTTGAGGTGGTGGAGAAAAAAACAACAAAACCACGGGGTCCTGAAGCCACCTGCTGTCACCGAGGAGCCCGCCAGCTCACAGCGGGCGTCTGCAGGCGCCGTGGCGGATCAGAAAAGGTCTAATCCGGGCTGACCTTTCCACGTGGCGTGCATGTTGCCACTGCCGGGCCAAGCTGACAGAGCCCTGGAGGAAGCTGTGCACCGTGGAGTCAGTGGGGGGGGGGGGAATATAAACACTCTGCATGTTGGCACGGAGATAGGAGGAGGAGGAAGAAGAATGGAAAGGTGGAGTGTCGGAGCATTCATTTAACAGCGAAGATAGATGTAAGAAGTCGACCAAGTTTGGCGTTTTGGCGCCATTTCTTTTTTTTTTTTTGCAACCTGAGGTGACACATGAGGGTGGAGCTAAGTAACAACCAAATGCTGAATAAGACATTTTAGGAAAAAAAAATGTTAGTCACCCTTCATCAAGGTATCCTCATACAACGGTTTATATGGTGTCAAAGTCCTCATTTTTTTGTGCGTTTTCCAACAAAAGTCCAGCAACACGTGTCAATTGCCACTCGATACATGAATACAGTCTTTTCTAAATAAAGGAGTTATTGCGAGTAGATTAAGTGGCTGCTTTAACACTTATTTCCACTTATATCCCACAGATAGTTTATACTTTATTTCTTTCACGAGTCTAAACAAAAGGCTATTAAACCAAATGTACTTTGTGATTCAGTTTGACGTTTATCCTCGTG